TAGAGTACTCAGTTACAAGCTTCAAAGAGCCACATTTCGGGGGGGCCCAGGGGCACCAGAGTTTACCTGGCAAGCTGGTGGCACGTGAGGACATAAAATTAGGAAGAGTGCTCAGGGCAGGGGAAGAGATTCGAGTTCCAGAAATGCTGAGGAGTGAGAAGTTCTCCATATTCTGACTACCGAAGGGTACGGAGGTCACGCACACCTGCTCCCCAGAGGCTGGTTGGGTTGTCCAGACGATAAACATTCCGAGCGCAGGTGACATCACAGGAAGACCACATGATTCCACTCACCAGTAAGGGGCCCCTCAAAGATGGATGGGGTCTGGTGCAAGCAAGATAAACACTTTTAGAGATTTTTGTGACTTGGCATTCCTCAGTGGCCTGTCTTAGTTGGGAATGTCCAGAGAGATGCAGGCATGCAGGAGAGACCTGGTCGCGATGCTGTCTGCTCCCCCATCAGCTCTTTCATGTCCCTTTTCCATGTCGCTGTCACTGCCCACAGATCTGGGGTTCTCCGTCCTCTCTGAGTGACCTCCTTGTTTCCTTTTTCATCTGCCTAATGTCTGCCACCAGATATCTTTGTTGTTTTAATTTAGCTTCTGGTTTGGGATAGGGTGTGTTCTTTTATCATTTTCTTTGGAAATAATTTCAAACTTATAAAAAGCTGCAAAAATAAAATTAGTACAGAGAACATATGCACCCTGTATCTAGATTTTCCTATTGTTAACATTTTATTCCATTTGCTTTATCAATTCCCTACCTCCCTCTCTGTCTCTGCATGTATACTTTTTTTTTCCCCTGAGGTATTTGAAGGTAAGTTACAAACATAATGTCCCTTTGTGCCTAAATATTCAATAGGTTCTCCCCAAGAATAGGGACCAGATACTGTTTTAAATGGTTGGTGCTGTCTCTTCTTTAGCAAATGACTAAAACATAAATGGGTGGCTTACTCAACACCATTTGCTCATTATAAGCTATTTTCCCATGAGGTTATGAATTCAGAGTGGCAAGGTTGCCTCTTTTCTTTGCTTCACTTCTGTCATATAACAGCCTGGGTAGCCTGCTAGAGGGTTGATGGGTGAGTTGATCTTCTAGATCATCACCACGAGATGCATACGGGGCTTTAGATGTAAAGGTGGTTATGTTTGTTCAGTGTGGGAAAGATCTGGTCCACTCTGTAAGCAGCAGTGGACCGACCCTGCTGTGTGTGGACCAAGTGTGAGTGAGCAACTGCGTGTGGAGCCCAGAGTTGTCCTTCTGTCTGTGTTTGTTCACAACACTCAGACATTTGCCGGGGGCAGTGTGGAGAACATGCTCTCCTCACGCTGCCTCCACAGCCTGGCCTTCAGTGTTAGAACGTGTTGGGATGCAAACTGATACTATGTCCCTTGGCAACTGTAAGGTATTGGCAATTTCAGTTGGCTGTTGTGGCCCGCAGAAAGATCAGGGCTCAGGGAGTCAGCCTGTGTGAGTTCTAAATTTGGCTCTACCATTTAGCTCCCTGTGGGTATGAGGCACACCTCTCTGCCACCTGCCTTTCCCATTCTGTTAATTGATGTGATTGGATGAATGACCATCTTCCTCATCTTAAATCTAGTGACTTGCATGTGGAAATGACACAACTAAGGAAGGAGTGATGCACACAGGATCCAGGAAACTTAGAACTTCATCCTGCCCTGGCCCATCCATTCCTCCTTCTGCCAGCTAGGAACTTCAGATATACCTAATGCAAAGGGGGCTCAGAATATTGGGGGAGATACAGGAGGCTACATCAGTGCCTCCTGATGTAGGGAGGGTTTTTAAAACACTGTTTTGACCTGGTTATTAAAAAGCATACGGGCAGCCGGTCCTCCTGGGTGCCTCACGGCTGGGCACCTGTCTTGCATGCTGTGTCCTCGCAGTGTGTGGTTGCCGGTGGCCCAGACAGGAGACGACACTCCCCATGTGGTCGGTCACTACATAAAACGTGTCTCTCTCTCGTTTGTTTCCCACCTGCTTTCCGAGCCCCTTTCTCGGACAGGTAAGATACCGTCTTTCTTGTGGATGACTTTGGCTCCAGATGTTCCCCTCTGCCTGACTGTGTGCATGCTGGGGGTGCTTTTGGGAGGGTCACCTGGTTGGGGTCCAATTACCTTCCTTTCCACCATCACTGTTATTTTCTGAACCACCACACTTCTAGTCCTGATAGTGTGTGCAGTCTTAATGCTTTCAGCAGGAAAGGGGCTTGCTGCACACCCCTCGGATGGGGAAATGAAGGAAGCCCCAGGGAGGGTCCTGCATTGGAGGCTGGCAGTTCCTCCCAGTCTGACCTCAAGAGCCCCTGTGGACCACTCCCGCAGGAGGAGGTTTTGAATGACTTTTGTAAATGGAAAAGGGCTTGGAGAACAGTTTCTCTAAGATGTTAGCTCCTAATGCATTCAGTTTTAAGCGTTCATGTCAAAAGTCAATTCAATTAAACTATTTGCTAAATGCCTGCTATTGTGCAAGGCCCTATGCTGAGCATTGTAGACCAAAAGTATCACTTAAGATGCTACAGCCCATGGAGGAGCTTATTTTATTATAAAGACAAGATGTATTTATCAGAAGACTTCAGAGAATTGTGAAGAGAGTATGTGATGGGCTATCTTTAAATTACTTAAGAATTCAGCATATACATTCTGATGGGTAGAGAAGCAAGAAGTACAGGAAATCTAAAATGGTGTTTAGTCAGAAAATTATGTTTATTAGACCGTTTCCTCAATAATTATGATAAAGGGGCTTACAATTTACAAGTTGCTTTGCCAGGTGTTTTTGGTACTTACACTTTTAGAAACGAATGCGTCTGCTCTGAAAGTTCACATTAAACCAACAAAGAAGCAGCCACAGAACTATGCGAGCCCAGAAGTGGTGGGGATTGGCCTTCTTCCCCAGCCTACCTCTCTTGAACACTCACTCTAGCTTCATGGTGGCCCAAATACTTTCTAGTTTGGGGGGAAATCATTAAATGCACTAGTTTTCAAGAGTTCATGATCAAAGAACACTTTGAAGAATGTGGGACATGATAGGTAAATCATGCGAAAGTGGATAACATGGCAGGATTTACACTCTAGGAGAAGACTCGAGTTGATACCCCTGTTGTCGGATGGGCAAGGACCTCCTGCTGGTGTGGTGGGTCTACACCGGGAAGTCAGCCAGCCTGAACCAGCGGGCTCTGTGCCCTGTGTCCCAGCGATGCCCTAATCAAGTTCCTGGCATGTCTCCTGCAGAGGTGCTTTTCCTGCACGTGGGTTAGGGTCAGTTACAGGGGTGAAGACTGGGGCTCTCCAAAGGCGGAGATTCCACTCTTCCCACAGCTGCCTCCTACCTCCAAAGACCCTCACCATCTGGCTCATTGAGGTAGTTGGCTCAGAAGAGAGATCTCTGCTTGAAACCACAATACAGAGAAATGCTCCCTGTGACCCAGGACTCAGCAGGGCAGGGCAGAGATCCACCTGTAATGCAGGACACTTGGGTTCAATCCCTGAGTTGAGACGATCCCCTGGAGAAGGGATACTCCTGTATTCCTACATGGAGAATTCCCTGGATAGGGGAGCCTGGCAGGCTACAGTCCACGGGGTCACAGAGAGTCAGACATGACTGAGCGACTAACAGTTTCACTTTTTTCAACAGAAGAAAATGTACACCCTAATCTCAGTTCCTCTTAGGAAGTCTCGGCAAGAATAGACACTTAGGAGAGGAGCCTGTGACCAAAAGCAACCTCTCCTCCCCATAGATTGACAAAAGTATCTGGAGCAGTTGGGAAGGACAGGAGCCTCCAGCCTGCTTGCAAGGTGCTAGCATGCTTCTGGCTGCACTGAGGCCTGAGCTGAATTTCCAGGTGGGGGAGACGCTGCCCCATGCCAGGGTGTATACAGCATGGCTTAGAACCCTGAGCTCCAGCCGTTTCAACTAGACGTCTCAGAGCTGCTGCGGTCTTGGTCGCCACAGTTCTCTATCTGCAAATGGGTTTGGCAGTTCAGGGTACTTATTTTGAACACCTACTGTGTGTTAGCTGTCAAAGACACAAAGATGAATGAGATATGGCCACTGCCTTGCAGGTATCAACAACTCTGTGGGTCTCCTGTCAGCCCTTTGAGTTAATTAATCCTTCCAGCTGAAGAGAGATCCCTAAGAGGAGTGTCCACAAGGCATATTTAGACAGCATGCAAGGCAGGGGAAGGAGTGGGGCAAGCTCTGAGCTTTAGGTGAGAAAACCTGGTTTCTAGTTCCCACAGCACCAGTAATTGGCCTGTGACCTCAGGCCCAACAGTTCACTGCTCTGAGCCCCGTTTTCCTCCTCCACAATAAAAACCTTAACCACACCCCATCTCACTAGGCAGTCGTGAGGATTAAGTGAGCTGGTGTTTGTCAGCTTCCTCCTGCTTCCTTGGCACCGAGTGCTTGTCCGTTTGGTTCACACCATCCCTCCTCGAACAGCTGGTCCATTCTCCCAGATTCCACAGCAGGAGAAGTGAGCATTTTCCACGGAGAAAGCACGCTACGCATGTGGCTCTTTGGCAGAGAACCTCCAGCTCCAGGCCTCACACTTGCACTTCCTCCACCAGCTTCTACCCCAATACCCAAGTCCCCGCCGTGTGTGCTCACCGCACCGTCAAAATGTGCATCTCATTGTTTCATCCTGGTTTTCCTCTACTTTAGAAGGCCCACGACCCCAAGGTCAGGAGTTAGGCTGTGAGTCAAGGAGGCAGGCTTAAAGGGAGAAGTTAGCTTTTATTTGTGGCCAGAGTTCATCACTGATTAACCAGGGTGAGGCAGAACTAGAATTTCTGGTCCCACAGCCCATCAAGACAATGGGATTGGAAGGTTCAAGAGTGTCTTTGCTGGCGTGCTCTCGACTATTCCCAGAGCCTCGTGGGGTTACCGAGCTGTGGGTGTGGTCTAAGGAGAAGGCTGGCAGCAATGGGGAAGGAAGTCCCCACGCCCTCCCCTCACCAGCTCTCTCTCTTTCCCTCTTTGTAGTCGACCACAGCATGTTTGAGAACCTGAACACAGCCCTCACTCCCAAGCTCCAGGCGAGCCGCTCCTTCCCCCACTTGTCCAGGCCGGCGGCCCCCAGCTCTGCTGCTCAGGGGTCTGCGGAGTCCGGGGGGCCTGGACTCTGGGTGGGCAGCAGTCAGCACCTCAAGAGCCTGGGCAAAGCGGTGGGGGCCAAAGTGAATGACTTCCTGCGGAGAAAGGAACCCTCGAGCCTGGGCAGCGTGGGCGCGACAGAGGTCAACAAGACGGCGGGGGCCCAGCTGGCCAGCGGGGCTGACGGGGATGACGGAAGGTGAGTGCGCCGCCTATCACCTCCCTGCGGGTCGTGGACCAGGAAGAGGCTTGCAGATAAACTGTAGTGTCTCGAGAGGAGAATGACCCCGGGGCAGGGACGTGAGGTTGTCACATGAGGAGTAGCTGAAGGGTGACGTTTGGGGAAGCCGGCTTCGCCGTCCACCACCACAGCCGAAGTTCACTGCATGCCCATCATGTCCTAGCGCTGTGCTGGACTTCAGCTACGCTATTTTACCTGACTCTGCCACCGTCCTCTGAGGTAGACGGTATCATTTCCATTTTGCAGAGAGTGCAGGTTCAGAGTGGTAACGTGAGGAACTTAAGGGTACAAAGTTAGTGATGGGCAGAGCTGGATTCAAACCCAGGTATTGTGGGAAGCAAGCTTCCCAGGGGGATTCTGACACCCAGCCCCACATGAGAAGCCCATGTTTGGGCAGATGCAGGGGAAGCCTCCCATTTTGAGCCTCGTTTTAGACACCTGGACTTGGAGGGTGGTGATGCAACTTTTGAGAGCTACTGCGTAGGGTCTGATGTGATGCGGTTCACCAGCGGGCCCAGTGTTAACACTCTGCACTGCTCTGAAGACTGAGTGAGGATGTGACAGGCCCAAAGCCATTTGTGCTCACACTGCTGAGACTCAACGCTAAAACAAGAATGAGAGTCCAGAGTGTAAAGCGCCCCCGTGGGTGGGTGAGTAGAAAATGCAGTTGGAGCTAGAGATGGGAGAACACAGCAGGGACTGGTGTCTTGCCAGCCTCAGAGCACTGACGTCAACTTTACAGGTCAGCCCTGCAAGAAGCATTCCCTCGGCTGGATCCTCCACCTCCCACCACCAGGAAGCGAACCCCTCGGGCCCTGAAGACCACCCAGGACATGCTGATTTCATCACAGCCTGTCCTAAGTAGTCTGGAGTATGGGACAGAGCTATCATCTGGGCAGCCCCAGGTCTTGTCTCCCACCCAACCCAGCTCAGCCGATGCTTCCCAGCCAGAGGCCACCACGGAGGTGGTGGACAGGGGCGATGCTCTGCCGAATGGAGAGGCTTCCGTGTCAGTACCTGACCTCATCCACAAGGACAGCCAGGATGACCCCAAACTCAAGGCAACTGAGTGCCGAAGGGCCTCTTCCCCTGGCCTCATGGAGAGAAATGGCCTCAAACTCAGCCTGAGCCCCGTCAGCCTGGCCGAGTCTCTGGAGGACGGCAGCCCACCTCCCCGGGCGCGGACCTCCAGCGCTGACAATGAGGGCCCTCACCCAGACCTGCTGTCCTTTGAGTAGAGCTGCGTCTGCCCCTGCTCCACCGTGCACCCTGGCCCTGTCCTCTCTCCTGCTGTCCTCCTTGCACACGGCACGGCAGAGTGATTCTCCTGGTGAATGCAGGGCCAGAGGTCCAAGTGGTTGTAGTTCAAGAGTTTGTCCATGGAATGGAAAAAGCACGCACTTGGATGCCTTCCCAGCTTCTCTGCATGCTGGCTGCAGCCCTTGGATGTTGGGGCACCTCTGCTCCCATGGTGCCCTGGCTTCCCATTAATGTGCAGGGCCAGCAGCCCAGGGTGAAGGCTGTTCTCTTTGCCTGTCTTCCAAATGCCGCCTGCTCTTCTCTTTTCCTTGCCCTCCTGGTTCCTTCCTTCTCCTCCCTGGGCGCCCAGAGGCCTCCTGCCTCAGGGGGAGTCAAAGTGGATGAGGGATGCTGGGTTTGGCTTGGTGATGGGCCCAGACCCAGAAAGCCACACATGAACACAGCCCAGCCACAGCGCTTCCTGGTCACAAGACAGTGCAGGCCTGGGGCCATCACCTTGCCTCTGCCCGTGTGGGTGCAGGCTGAGGGAGATGCTTACGAAGCCTGAGACCTTGGGCAGCCTTGTCACCCAGAGTTCATAGGTGCTGCTCATCTAGACAGGGAAACACGGTGAGCCCTCCCTGGGGCAGGGCATGGAGCCAGCCTCCGCGAGCACCTGCCCAGCGTGGGCATGTCCAGAGGCTTTGGGAATGACGATGCCCCAGGTATGTGAATGCTCCCTGCCCAGAAGGAGGGGCCCGGGCCTCCTGTGCTGTGTGTGAAGACAGGGCTAGGCAGGCCCTGGCAGAAGCAGCAGAGCAAGTTCTGACGTCATTTGGGGGGAGGGCCCGGGACCCTGGCATCCAGGGAGCTGGTCCCAAGAGAACCCGCAGCAGGAGTGGAGAAGGATGTGGGAAGAGGAGTCGTAAGGACTCAGGGCAGCTATGGGCCGTGATGTAGTTCCAGGCTCTAGGCGTGGTAAGTGCGAGGATGAAGGTGAAGAGTGTGAGAGGTTGGAATGTGGTGAGGAGCATGGGCAGGCTGCCCTTGAGGAGGAGGCACTCTCTATGCGCCTGCCTCTGGGGTCTCTGTGACGGACGGACAGTCCCCCCAGCCCCGCTGCTTCTGCCCTCCTGTGTTAACCCACTTCTGTGTTCCTGTCTCCCACCAGGAGTCCTGTCCTGCTGCCTTCCTGTGGCCAGGAGACCCTGTCAGGGGTTGATCCCAACCTTGGGGGCCTTTGCAGCAAGAAGAGAACGTGCCTTTCCTTGAGCAGGGTGGCTGGTCCCTGAGAGAAGGCTGAGAGGGGCTCGTCTGGCCAGAGCAGGGTCTCCATTCCTCTTCCTGCAGTTCCTGCTGCCTCCTGTTCTCTTCGCCGCTTGGCTTCCCCTTCTGGGTGCCCCAGAGCTCACTGCCCACTTCCTCTCATCCCCCGATCCCTGCTCCGCTCCTCAGCACCTCTGTGGCCCTGGGAGCCTCGGGGCATCAGCAGCGTGTGTGCTTGTGTCTGCAGCCACGTGGCCAAGCCCCAGCTCTGCCACGGCCTTTCTCCTGCCTTGTCTTTTCACAGCCAAGCTTTGTCTCCTCGTCCTCAGAAGGGCCCCAGCGCACCAGGCACCTGGTGGGCCATTGTGAAGTGAGCAAGGCTGTTACTGGATTGAGTCAATCCTGCCTTATTCCAGGAACATCACAAGGGTGTGATACCTGCCCTCAATGCTCAGAAGTGCTTAGGACTAGCATTTTGGGGGCCTGTGAGTTTTCCCATATGGGCTTGGGGTTCTGCACAAAACACAGAGCTGGAGGTGAGGGACAGAGAGCTAAACCCACGTGCTGGGAGCTAGCCTGCTTTCGTTTGTACTTCCATCCCGGAAGTCCAGTTTGCTTCTCTGATGGGAAACTTACTAAGTATCTACACTCTGGCCTGCTTCTGTCCCAGGGCTCAGAGTGGCTCTGGCCGGATGATACTGTAGCCATAGGCACAGAGGTGGCAGGCCAGGGCTGGCTTAAACACCCTGCTGTCTGCTCCCCACCCGGATGCCACTGAGGTCCAGGGGTCAGCACAGGCATCCTGCCAGGCTGTCCTGGGACCATGGGCAAGGCAACCCCAGTGTCCCCAGACGCGTGTCCAGTGCTGAATAAGGAGGGGGCTGAGGGACCCTGTGTCAGCGTCCACGTGGCCTCGCTTTGGTCGCCACCTCAGCCATTCTGTAGCAGGGGGTGGGGGAGCTCTCAGGCTAAATTGAGTCCTAAATGCTGCAGAGAGTGCCTGGTGCTAGGGGAAAAGGGGTGCCCAGAGGCTGACAGGAAACGGCAATGTCTATCCTGCTGAGGGCCCTGGTGCAGACCAGCTGTCTATGCAAAACCCCACTTGGCTTCCTGCGTCGATCTCAACATCTGACCTTCCTGTGACTGCAGCGTGACCCGCACACACCCCTCAGGGTGACTTCAGCTTCTCTGGAGGCTTGACCCTGGGGTGGCCCAGCCTACTCCAGGACAGGGCACTGAGGAGAAATGTCTTCTGTGTCCTCAGAAGGAAGTGGGGCCATGGGGCTTTCTTCACATCCTGGTCCCACTCCCCTGAATCCCCATATTCAGCAGTAGCTTTGCCCTGACAGATGGAAGGTGAGCTTCCAGAACCTGGCCAAAAGGTGGCATATTCATATTACACTGGCACAGAGAGAAATGTAATGTGTTAACGAATGTGGGTGGTGAAGACCTTCTTGTAATCCATCATCTTTTAAAGAACAAAGAGGTTGGCCCCAGTTTAGGGGAAGAAGAATATTACAGAGCTATTCCAAGTATTTTCTAGAGATTTTATATTTATATTTTTAGTAATTTTCTGGTAGAAACTATACAATAAAATGATTTGGTTTGGTTTTGCTGGTTTGGCTTTTTTCTCCTAACCCATGGGGAGTGGTTGCTTTTTCTGAAGGCTGACCTGTTCGCTGGCCGTTTGCTTTATGAGCCTGGGAGAGTGAGACGTGACAGATCTCTAGCCCGAGACCTTGGGCGGAAATGTGGGGATGTGCCCTCATTTATTCCCCAAACTGGCTGGCCGCTGTGGAAGTCTCCCTCCTCCAAATTGGACTATGACTATTTCAGGGAACCCACATCATGTGCAGAGGTGCCACCCCCCCCCCCCAGAAAGAAGCAGGAAATGAGAGTGACCATCAGATCATCTCCCTGGGGTCCATACCCCTCTCCCATTGAGGCAGGAACGGAGCTGGGTGTGCACGCAGACCTTCAGGGAGGGACCGGAGCTGCTGTCAGATTCCAAGTCATTAGGAACGTCAGTAAAGCACCCAAAACTGCTGATGTGGTCGCTTACCCCAGACCACAGTAACCCAGATGCTCCTTACTGAGAGAGCATGGCTCAGAGCAGTGCTGGTCTGAAGCCCCCTGGGTGCCCCCGGCTATCCGCTGACTGGTGCCAGACTGAATGACCCAGAGGACTCCCAGCTGAGAACTGACCAGACCTTTAACCTCTTTAAAAGGGACAAAGTGGAGAAAAGATAGGAAGAGGAAGGAGAAGAAGCCATATCCGTAACTAAAGGGGGAGGGATGGGCCCTTTCTGCCCAGCCCTGTCATTCTCCCCCATGATGATGCCTGAGACCCCTCCCTGGCTGCAATTAAAAAACATCTCAGGCATGAGGCTAAGTCTCCAGTCTTTTCTGCTCTGAATTCCACTCCTGCACTTCATTCCTCAGAGGAAGAAGACAATGGGCCTTCACTCTGCTTGCTTGCTCTGCAGTGGGGCTCAGCATATTGTTCTGGGAAGGTACGAATAATGCAAAAACCAATCCAACATATTCCATGCATGGGAAAAGGCATTTTAAATATTTAACAGTAGCAACTTTTTCCTTTAAGTGTAAGCTCCAGTTTGGGCAACCGCTCCCATTGAGCAACTTCAGGATTGACTTCTGCAATCATTCAGGTGTGAAATGTACCTTTCACATGCCTTTTCTTTCCCACTATTATGCGAAGTAATTATTTGGGGCTAAGATCAAATATGAAAAATCATAATGTAAAAATAAAAACTTTTTGAGGAAATTTTTAAGTGTGAAAAGGGATGTGAATATGTCACCTGGTCTTTAATGCTGTGCTCTGAGCCTTTGGTCTGGAAGCTGGGGTAAGATATCCAAGCCTGTTTGTGTACTGAGGGCTGTCTGGGGCACAGCGGTAATGCTGGTGGAGAAGAGATCCCTGCTTGTCTCTCAAGAGGCCCACAGTGGACAGAGGAGCCTGGTGGGCTACAGTCCACGGGATCGCAGAGTCAGGCAGGGCTGAGCCCCCAGGCGTGCATGCCCACGGTTGCTGAGGGCACCGTGGAGCCTGCCTGCCTGCTCTGCCTAACAGGCCGTGTTAGCATGACCTGTTACACAATGGCAGTACGGGGCCGGGGTGGCAGTTTCAACTGAGAGCGTTTTTCCTCTGCCTGTAGTGATCGCTGAAGGAAATGAACAAATCACAGGTCCTCAGGAAACCCACTTCATTCCTCAAGTCTGGTGGGGAGCTCCTGTTGGGATTCAGAAGTCATGGGATGGCTGTAGCTAGTACCAGACTCCACCTCAGATACTGCTCCAAACTCAGAGAGCTGCTTCCTGGTGAGTTTGCTCTCAGACTTATTCAGAATTCCTTCTTAGTCTGTGAATCCTGGGAGTGTTCCAGAACCGTCTGTGCTTCCATACCCCGTGTCCTGTCTCATCTCCACCACCACAGGCCTCCCGAGTTTGGTTTGCCACCACAGGCAATAGCTCCTTGCCTTTGAGATGTGGGCTCTCAGGGTTCCCTGGGCTTCCCTCAGCGTTGCCCCTGCCGTGCCTACCACTCGGTCTGAGGTGCCCCATTCCAGAGCTTCCCACCCGCCGTCATGGCTCCCTTCTGAGTGGGAACAAGTAATTCCACACAAAGAAACTCGGCTCTCGTAGAGGAATCCCCACCTCCCCCTAGACAGCTTCATGAGTGCAGACAACATTTAACGTCGTTCATCTCTCCCAGGGAAATCCACTCTGGAAACCTTCATCTCAGTCGTCCAGTGAAGCACCTTCGGGGACCTCCCCCACCAGGGTGCCCGCCTCCCTGCTGCCGTTTGCACTGGGGCGTGATGAAAGCCTGGAGTCCCCTCCTCTGACTTCCCACTAATGAAAAAATTCCTCCGCGTCCGTATCTAGGGCCCGACACCCAGGGACACAAATCCTCTTTGTGTCCAGCTTATCTCCAGCTGCTGCCATGATAAATAGTGCAGCTCAAGGGAGCCTAGGCAAGCTGTACCCCACGGAGCAAATCACTTGGTTACTGGCCGCACAGACAGGGAAGCCGGCTAGGGGAAATGTTTAGGGACCAACTCAGACACACCAGGCTACTTTCCCGTGGGAGGTACCCGAGGAATCTGTCTGTTTTGGGGTAGGAAACACTGCCAGTGTTTCACTCTTGGAAAAGACAAAAAAGAAAAAAGTCACCCAAAGCCAGAAGCCACACCTCACAGCAAACTGCCGCTTTTGTTCTGCGTGTCACCATTTAAGCAGTCTAGAGGTTTCCAGTACCATGGGCCTTAAAGTTCCCTTGGT